ATGCCATCGTCTGTCGGGTCAGTTGATATGAATGGCTTCCTATCTTGATATGCTAACAATCTCGAACTGTCACGGAATTTGACTACAGTAGCCTCACTGTGGCATTCATTTCCGAGTTTCTAGGTCCACTCGGCAAAGCTCTGGACTGCTCGTCGTGTAATTCACCATCATTGAGCGAGAATTGCGCTCCGATCCCAGTGCCCGCTGATGATCCCTATTTCAAGCCTATTGCTGGTGAAAGGTAATTCAATTGGTTTATTTCAGAAGTGGCACTAATCGGAAGATAAATGATGAACATGGCCTCCAAAAATCAAAATAATCCGCTGAAAATTTAAAGCTTTTGAACGTTGTGAGATAATGTATTAGGGAAGAAAACGGATTCTTATCCGATGATTCCGAGGCTCTCTTAAAGCAGTCCCGGTAGGGTTTTGACCATACGATTCTAATGAGGTGGAAAGATGCACTAGCCCTAGTCAAGTACATAAGAAGTGTCAGTGAACTAAAACTCACCTTGGAAAGTTGCTAGAAGGGAGTCGAACGCTCTCGAAGTAGGGGGGGGGGCACCGGCCCCGGTTGCGACGCCCACTTGCAGCTGTGGAGAGCGCGTGCTTGGATGCGGGTCCTTGCGCGATTGCTTGTAACTATCCCGCGTTTCGAAATTAATGCTGCGTCTTTTGATTGGTTTTACTTGTTAACTCATTTAATTATTGTATCTTTTGTTTGTACTGATGCATATGTCTCTGTTTGTATTAGGGCAAATGCGATTGCAGCCGCATTTCTTGCTGGCACGAGCCAGCAGCAGAAATGCAAGCCAATTCAGACAACTCGTCCGACCGCCCCTCCCCTCATTTCAAAGGGGAAGAGGGGAAACCCCTGTTCAAGAACTTCGCCGGCGTTTTTCTTCGCTTTTTTCCTATTAGCAGTCAACTCGCCATCTACAACTTCATTATCGACAGTTTTTACCCATTTCTATTTGGAATTGTTGCTTTAAGGGACAACGCGATTGTTATGGAAAGAAACGCGGAATGTAGACCCACCCAGGTGTCACCAATTCTTTTATATGATCGCTGGGAAGTCCCTGTCGTTTTGCCCATCTTTTTTTGATTTTTCTGAAGGTGTTAGTTATTGCTAGAGTTATTGCTACAACCTGCAATTTTTATTGTATTTTTTGTCGTATTTATTTTTCTCTGACGAATAACTCTAGATTTGATAATAAAATTAATACTATCAAAATAATTGATAATAATTTAGAGTAATATGTAGAACTAACGATTTGAGACATCTGTGAATGACTTTTCCTGTAGGAGGGATCGCCGTCAGGCTGGGTCAATGGAGAGTCGCCGCGGCGACAGGAACTCGAAAGAGGGCGGTCGTGGCGGAAAAAAGAATTCAAGGGAGGAGAAGCCGAAAAGTAAAGCTTCCAGATGCCTTCGACTCACACGTGCTCTGAATGCTCAAAAAGGCCTTGGAGTGAGGACACAAATCAATCAGGTATTCGACTTTGATCACTTTAGACTTCCATTAGAGGACATCTGGGATATGGGCCAATATTTTTTTGGACACACTGAAGGAGAGGGTGTTTCAAACTTCTCAGGCGTGCATTCTTGATAACTCCCACGTGACGAACGAGCAAAGGCACTGAAGGCCTAAGCAAAAGTCCGGCTGTAGGCTCCTGGCGGTATCGAGACGCACTGCTTTCGGAGCGCGACGACTCATCGTCTCGCCCGTCAGAGGTACCTGTTGGCGCTTACTCGTTTTCGAGATTTTACTGAACCCCTTTTCAAAGAGAAAGGAATCAATACAACCCTCTACGCCCATTACCACTTTCTTTTGATGACTGTTTGTTTATTTCTTCCAAAAATTCAGAACACACACTTCCTTGACCTGTCAGCAGTATACGGTTCTGAAGAATGTGAAGGAGCATCAGTGCGATCCTTCGTCAATGGAGAACTAAGGACATATGTACATAGTGGAGACGTTCTGCCGCCACAGAATAAGAATGTATGTTTTTTGGCTTCCTTTAACGCCTTTGATTTTATCTTAGGTGCTGGTGTGGGGACGGCCATACTGAGCCACTTGAAGGCCATCTATGACTATTCCTTCAAGGAGCAGTTGACCTCTTCCCTTGCGGCTATCTTCCCTCAGTCTATCGCATGTGAGAGACAGTTCTTGATAAACGGAACCCACCCCGGATTGGTTGGTGCTGTATTGGATCTCTGCCGTTGGAGCGCTATATCTTCCAAGAGGCGCTGCTAAGTGTGACCGTACCCTTGAGGTGTATTATGAAGTGCGCTGCCTTACGAAAGCATGGCCGAGATTTCCGCAAACCAGTGTTGAATTTCATCGGGAAGTTGCTAGTCATGCAAACATTTGTCGTTGGATAATTCCTCCATATTACATTTTTAGGACTCGAACTGCCTGTCAAAAGCACCGTACTACTGTTTTACCACTGGTGACTTCCGAAATTCCCTACATCCCGGACTTGTCCCATTACACACGGTCTACATCAAAGAACACAATCGAATCGCTGCTCTGTTCAAGCGAAGCAACCCATCGTGGAATGATGAGCCAGCACTTTCCAGGTGAAAAGCTCGATAGCATTATTTGATAAGTTTTGCTGATCCAGAGCCAGGCATATCACATATACTGATAACACCATGGTACAGAGTTGCCATTTTGAGAGCACTAGGGTGCAATAGTGTAAAAGAACTAGCCGCGGGACTCTGGTTGCTTCTCATGGCAGATCATTTGAACTGTTCTTCTGGCGATGCATACTTTGCCTTCCGTTCATAGGAGAATCCAGAGCATGTGAAAAACAGGGACCTTGCACCCACTTCAGTTAGGGGTTTGGCGTCGGAGTACAACTCAATTGGCATTGTGTTCCCGCAGGAATATATCTGTTGTGTGATCGCATGCTCAAGCAGGGTCAACCGTTGGACCGATTTCGAAAATTTTACGACCCCCCTCCCCTTCTAGAGGGCCTCGATACGACCCCCCTCAGGGTCAACCCTTCACCACCCTCGCCTGCCATCGCCATCATGGGGCTCATTCTATAGTATTCGATTCTGAGACCAGTCCAAACTCCGCCCACTTTCTTCCCTAAATTTCCCGTCGAGTGGGGGGGGGGGGGAAGTCTACATACGCACGCTGAAAGGGCAAAATTTTAGCGCGCCAACCAACTGCATCATCACTTCCCTTACTGTAACATTAACCCTACCTCGCGAAATATAACCCCGCACCCTCCCCCTGAGTCCACATTTGGCGCGCGATTTTCAACTGCAAGTGGGTGCGACGTCGCGAGGTGACCCCTGTCACAAGTCAAACGGAGACGTTTCGTTATCTTGAAAGTTCAGGGTACTTCGGCCCTGACACTAATTTTCTTACTGCTTCTAGGAAGCTCGTCGCGTGAACATTGCTCAATATCAGCATCAAGTCTACTCTGAGTATCTCCCATTAGTTGTCGGCAATAAACTCTGGAATGACTTCGGCTTGAAGCCATTGCAATCTGGATTCAGTACTGCTGGTGAATTTAATAATATCAAAACTTGAAAAAAAAATTAAAAATAACGGCAAACTATTGCTGCTTTCCGAAATGAACGTTCTCCATCTCAGGTTACTCCACCTCGGTGAACGCAGCTCTTTCGGCAGAATTCGCCGCTGCTGCATTCCGATTTGGTCATGGCACGGCAAGGAAAGATTTCCCAAGGTGAAAATTTCACAGGGTTTCGGAAGTAAACAACGTAGACGCGCGAGCCGTCTGTGCTCTCCACGCGCCCATTCACCCTCGACCTTTTCTCACACCGTACAGAGCCATGGTCGAATTCCTCGACCGTTGTTCATTCGGAGTGACGGCACTCTTGTACAATTGGCACGTGACGGCGAGAACGTCACAAGATCTGTCTAGTGGACAGTTTTACGAGAGCGTGACTGATCATGGATTGTGCTTTCCATGTATACTTTCCATGCAGGTTCCAAAATAGGAATCATGGATTGTGCTTTCCATGTATACTTTCCATGCAGGTTCCAAAATAGGATCTCCTATGAAGGGTTCAGTCTTTCGGAGTGTAGCGAGTGGATTCACACGGAGATTACGGTTCCGTCGCTTACTGCCCGAGCCACACTGACTGACTTATAACTCTATTATTTATACTTTTTACAGAGTCACCAACAGTAACAAAACAGCTGGCGCAACAGTCGACATGGGCAGTAATATCTTCTATGTGGACTCGCACTATGCGGCAAATCAGGGAGGACAGGCATCATTCATTGAAGGTACTTGTTTCTCAAAAATAGCTCCATATTGCAAAATAAAGGCAAGCCTCGGGCTAAAACTGCACAGGAGCTCCAGGGTTATGGCTGAGCTGAAGAGCGAATTGAAAGTGGAAAAAGTGCGAGAAACCATCGAAAACGCTAAAGTTAGGGACCTGACCCTCAGTAAGGTCGATTTTGGTACAATGGTGAGAAAGGGCGACCAGGAAAGACAAGACGCGCAAGAAAAGAGAGCACATTGATTTCCACATCAATCGCGGTGGGTGGAAAGGCGATACTTTCAAGTTCATGACGATTAGCGCTCTAATTCCGCATTTTTTGCTAGCACTACTTCTGTGGGCACGGGTCCAACACGTTCGTTCGAGGCCTGGTTCCTACTACTAGTGGGCCTAATACCGGACATGGCCTTTAAAGGATAGGTTGGAGAAGTAGTTGTGGAATGGAATGGTAATGAATTTCAAATGAAATCAATAAAATGATGTGCTAATATAACTGCAATGAACGGGAGGCGGTCATATGGCGCGATCACAACCATCCTCCTGCGACCAGACAACTCGTCCGTATCACTCAACTACTAACTTCAGTGATTGATCTGATAATTTGGGTCTCAAAAATCTCGCTGAGTCCCAAAGATCTAAAAAAAGAGCGGATAGCTTCGCTGGCCTGATGCCAAGGCAAGAGGAACGGAACAGAATGTGTTGCGCGGACGAGTTGTCCGGCCACAGCAGGACGTGGTAATTACGGCGCTCCAATGCCAATGGGATCGCGCCATATGACGCACACCCCAATGAATTGCGGGCAACTTTTCGGTAAACTCAAGAGCTTGTGAAATTCTCCAAAATAATCGTGAGAGGCAATGTATTTAAAATAGCTTTATGGGCGCTCATCCGGTAAGGGGGGGGGGGCATTGTGATGCAACGTCAAGTGGCTGCCCTCACCCCCCACCCCCTGAACTGGCTTCACTCCCCCTGGCTCACGGGGTCCCGTACTTCGAGAAACCTGTGCGCCAGGGGGAGTGTAGGCAGTCTAGGGGGTGGGGGGTGAGGGCAGCCACTTGATGCCCCCCTTACTGGATGAGCGCCGCTTCATGTTTTTGAATGCTGTCAAATGAACTGAGGGAGGAAAAAGAATAAACGAAATCAGGATTAGCTAATCGTGGATATGTTGCCCTATGTTTAGCGATACTTTGTAAGTTTTTAGGCTCTAATAGTTTACAAAATTACGTATATTCTTGCATATATTCATATGTTTCCAGACTCATTACGGCTTTTTTTCGAAATAATTGTTCAAGGTTCGGAGAATTCATGTTAGGCCGTTGTGTCTTTCAGGTATGATGCATCATCCAGCAATGAAATCCGACAAGGAGTTTTCGTTCCCTATCAGAAATCAGCTGTTCGAAATCCGTGGCCAGCCCGGATCTGGAGTGGATTTGGTGGCAGTTAATATCATGCGAGGACGTGACGTCGGCT